CTTCGCAAAGCGAGTTTCGCCCTATCTAAAAGTTGTTGAGCGATCGCATTAGCGATCCCAAAAAAGGGATCGCTATGCGATTTCGTCGTTGTATGGTGCGCTCATTAAGCGAGGCACCACTGTACAGTATATTGTTCTCTATCACATTCTGTATTTTTTATTTATCCGAGTACCCTGTTCCAAATCCCCTTCCCCATGATCTTTCCTTACTCAATGGAAAATGAAACAACAACAACAACAACAACAACAACAACAACAACAACAACAATAATAATAATAAAAATAGCTGAAAAGGGTCACCATAAGTCAGAATTGACTTGACAGCACTCAATTATGATTATGAATTAGTCTCCTCTGAAAGGACCTGTCATTAACAGCACTGATAAAGTCTTGCATACTCAAGGCTGTGATTTTTTTTTATATTCTGAAATCCATGTCTTCATTTTTCTTCAGCATTATTGTCCTTTCTACAGAGCCTTCTCACCATTTGCCCACAGGATAATCACATCGGATTGGCTACTTTTACTTCTTGGGGGAGTTCAGGCTTGATTGGATCTAGCACCAACTTGTTTGTCTTTGTGTCACTCTATCCAATCTGTAAAGTTCCCCTCTGCATTTCAAAGAATTTTCTCCCCCCTCCGTCAGCTTTCTTCACCATTCAGTATATTTATACATCATACAGTAATTGGAAATATTGTAGTATGGATGATCTTCACCTTTGTCTCCCTTGACATATCTTTACATTTGAGGATCTTTTCTAAGTTCTTTGGTGTCTGTGTTTCCAGGTCTCAGAGCTTCTCTACATGGCTTGGCTGGAGCAGGCTACATCCAGTATGCCATTTGGTGCAGTCCTCACATCCGAATGGCATACGAACCTCAAATGACCCTATTTGGTCCACAGCAGCTTTTGCCAATATTGTGAAGTACCTTAATAAGACAGGATATTTGCAAATTAATCACTTTCTTGGCTCCATGGAAGGGCTGAGAAAGTGGAAAACAATTTAAAGTGAATATTCACTTTATCACTTAACAGCAAATATTCAGTGCATCACTTCAGAATGCCTCCTCCTAGAAGCTTTTGTTTGCTTTTCAAGGTTCAGTCAAGAGCCTGCCCACAGCCAAATTGAGCAAGCCACAATATTGGCAAAAGGCTAACTTTCATAATTACACACATTGGAAATGGACTAAACCAAAGCAATATGATCCACACCAAAAAAGCAGAAGCCCCTGACAAGGGCCTTAAAGGTGTGGGCAGGAACCCTCTGGAGACTATTTGGTTCGCTCCAGCTATTACATCTTGTGATTGCTGTCAAAAAGAGCAAATTAACCTGCCTCCATAGTGGTCCAAACATCTGCCTGATTGTACCCTCAGCCTTCTGATTTCTTGGATGCTGCATCTGGACTGATAATTGAACTGAGGTATACAGAATCTTTTAACAATTTAACTTACTTCAATGGCAATATTAAATTGATGTGATTCTTCTGTAGACATGCTTATTTTTGTCCTAATGTTAAACTGCAGTCCTGCTTTTGGACTTTCTTCTTTCCCTTACATGAGAAGTCATTTCAAGTGATTGCTGTTTTCTGCCAGTAATATGGTTTCATCTGCATATCATAATGTTTCTTTGACCACTTTTCACTCCTGCATCTGAATCTAGGCCAGTTTTTGTGTAATATGTTCTGCACAGAGATTGAACAAACAAGCAGACAAAAACACGCCCTTGTCTGATACCTTTGTCTAGTTGAAACCAGTTTGTTTCTCCATAATCTGTCCTAACAGTTGCTTCTTTTGCACAGTACAGGTTGTGTGAGAGAAGAATCAGTTGTAGAGGCACATCTGTTTCTTTGGAACAATCCATAGTTGTTATTATCCAGACAAAGGTTTCACTGGAATGAGCTGTAATTGCTGAAAGCTCGCACAATAATAAATGTGTTGGTCTTTTGAGGTGCCACAAGGCCTTGTTTTTAGGTTTCCCTGACTTTACTTTGACACACAAAGTTTTCTTTCCTGGACCCGTCACAACTGATTTTCCTTCTCTTTCCCTGCTTTGCACCATCAAATTGAAAAGCAGAGTAAAACAGCTTTTGAAAAAATATTGTTTAGGAATTGGAAGGGGTAGGCCAAACTGAGGTTTACAAATACTTGCTGGTTGTTTGTTATACATAGATGTAGATGGAGGAATGGTGCTCTGTCATTTGATGCCACAAAAGAAGGTGGCTGTTTCTTCCTGTGTTTCTCCCATGGCAATTTCTAGAGGGAAGAGATCCTTTGCCTTCCCTTTGGATGGTGGAGAAGGGGCAGGGAAGTCTGTTGCCATCAGCACAGTTGCTTTTGTTTAAGTCTGGAACCTGCCCAATATGTGTACATATGAAGTTGAGGATCACAGTAGTCTCTTGATGAATAACTAGATTAAATTTACTTGAGACTACTAGGAATTTAAAAAGCTTTCATAGTCAGGTGTTGGGAGATGAGGAAAGATTTAGCCAGATTAGTAAACATTCTAATTACATAATAAGGTAATAGCTCAAGATTTGTCATTATTCTAAATAATGACCCTCTGAAATTCACCCATACTTATCTCAAAGTGCAAAACTTGTCTATGTGGGCTTTGCAGAGAAGTAGAATTTAATATTCCATTGACAGATTTATATAGAGATTTAGAGATATGCTGATGATATTTAAGAACTATACACTTAATAACAAATATTTGAATTTAGTGGTACTTTAGTAACTTTTAATAAGTTTTTCTTACTAAATATTCTTAATATTGGAGCTTTACAGTTTTTGGAACAAAGCTTTCATGATGTAGACTTTTGTATCTCCAGAACGTGTTTCTGCTTGCTTTCTAATATGTCACACTGGCTTTCAACATGCTTACACACCATCCTAGCTTCTTCATCCAAATGCTTTTTTAAAATATAGGTTTACGCTTTGGCACGCTTTCAGATCTAAATATTGTTTTGCCTGTAGTGCTTTTGTGGCTCCAAAGGTTCCCTCCTCCCACTGCTGACTTCAGTCTCTATTTTTAAAGTGTGTGATTTATTTATTGGTTTTCCAGTTTTTACATTCCCAAAGTATCTGACGAAATGGAAAGAAAACTATTTAACATCAATTAGCTGTTTTAAAGAAAACACACATGGCGCTTTCTCTGTAAAATTCACCCTTATCCCATTTTTATTTTTGCAGTTCTGTGTTCATAGGTCAGATGATAATGCTGCTTCTACTTGGAAAGGAAAACACTTATTCTTTCATGCACCTCCAGAAGTAGAGATTGATAGGAATTATGGTGGTTAGATATTTGGAGACTTCTTTGCCTTTAATTTGTTATTGGTAAAAACGCTATCATAAATTATCTGCAGTTTAAATTTGAAAGGCATCTTTTTTGAAACATGATGTTCTAAGATACAGTGGTGCCTCGCTTGCCTCACTTAATGAGGAAAT